ACTATATTAATCCATTATGCAGCTTCATATCAGAAGATAAACAGATAATGAACAGCAATACTGTCTACAAATTAAAATTGTGAAAATATAACCAAATATATTTTTTTTTTAAATTTCTAACACTGTAGAAGAGAAATCTGTTGAATTTATGGAAAGGAAACTGTCAGTTGGTGTGCCTGTATAAAACCCTATATTTAACAGAAAATGCTATTATTTAAAAAGAGACGCTTCTTTTTTAAGTAGATAAGTACTGTTATTTTAACAGATAAACACTGTTATTTTAACAGATAAACACTGTTATTTTAACAAATAAACAAGTATTTTAACAAAAAACTCTATAAATTACTATGCCGGTATTGTGGTTTATGCGAGCCGAGGGCAGCAATTGTACGACCAGTCGACGCCGGGGTTCGAACCTGAGTCACTTCATTGAGAAGCGAGGACTCTGTTCCCTAAGCTACCGCAAATCTAGTATCTCAGCATGAAGAAAAATCGTAAACTGTTTCTGTATTAAAAGTTTTACTTATTGAAACAATATTTTAGTGTAAGAAAGTTTAAAGCTATCGTGGCTTACCCGTTTAAAAATGCTCGGAAACTTAACTTAATAAAAATTCTTTATAAAATAATTGCTGAAGAATTAGAGGAGGTAATAAAATTAATCGTAAAATGATTTTAAAGAAGGTAGAGTCATCTTAAGGTAAACAAAACTGCATGGAAAAAAATAGAACAGTCTTAATCCGTTTATGAATAGGTTAAAAAAAAAACAGCGACAAACCATTTTGTCATCAAAACAACTTTAAGCCGTCAAATATACAGAGAAAGCCTATAAAAAGAACGGGGAATTTTTACAGTGTACTATAAAGCAAAAGTTCAAATAAATAACTGGACAAGTTGAGGCCTGAAGTCTTGTCTTGGTCACCCGTTCTTCGGATTTGTTTCCCACAGGCAATAACTTTTTTTTTGAAAACTAGAACTTAGTTTTTTCAAAGGTAAATGCTTCTTTATTCATTACTGAGTAATATTGTATTTAATAAACTATAAATGCACAATTTGAGTAAATTAATTATTGACAATAAATTAAATATAAATTTATCTATTTTTGGTTGAATTGGAAGGGAGTAAGGATTGTACCAATAGCAATTAGTTCGTTTGTTTGTATCTTTTAAAGATTTTTACCATTTAAATTTCTTAGATAAGCAGATGTAATGGTCACGTTAGTTTTAGCTAAGTGATGATTAGTTTGATATCAAAGAAAAAATTTTGGTATCAATATACATTTCGACCTTTTTTTTTTTTTGACGACTAACTTGTTATTTTTTTTTCTTGCTATTGATTTCCCTATTTTTTCTTGCTTCTGTATAAAAGGTCGGTTTGGACGATCCCATTTCTTGGACAGAAATTGATTGACATTGATGGAAACTTGTTTTGCTTTGAGCTTGGATCGTGTAAACAATCATCCAAGAACTTGGTCCAACTTCTTGGATGATAGTAGAGCATGTTCTACTTTCCATCCAAGTTTTTTCTCCCTTAACCAATCAGCGTCTTAGGTTTTGTGACGTCAACAAGCAGGCAGCAAATTATGTCATTTAGCTGTCTGTTTTCATATATTTTAGTACAAATAAATTGATCTGTTGAGATTTATTTGTGTTATTATGATTTTATTTGAATTTATTTAGTAATTTTAAACTTATGTTAGTATTATTTTATAATGTTGAATAGGAACAATACGCATGCGCAAGTTTTTCTTTCAACGAATCAGTGACATTCAAGAACTTGGATAGTGTCAGCGAATCATCCAATTTCTTGGACAGAAAAATCCGTCCAATTTCTCGGATTCAAGAACTTGGACCGTGTAAACAGGCCTTAAGTGAAAAAAGTTTTTGTAAACAAGTCATTTTACAACAAAAAAAAAATATACACGGAAGTTTTCATCCTTTTTAATCATTATTTTTCACTGATTGCAAACTTTTTCAGGTGCGTGATTTCTTCCGTTACTCTCAGAATGAGGCTGTTGATCTCGCCATTATGTTTCCTTTCGTGGCCAAAATAATGGGGTTTATTGCCGACCACATGACTGCTGGACAGATGACTTCGCTGATTGTAGACAATGTTATGAGCGTCATCAAATCAAGAAAGCAAAATCCCAACGTTAAAAGCATTGACCTTTTACAGTTGATGCTGGATCACCGAAAAAATGGTAAGCACCACTTAAGTTGGATGGTTGAAAGTTCTAAGTTAAGTAGTATTTCAGTAAAATTAAATCAGCCTTATTCGTTAACAACATAGTTGACCAGATTAGATTTGGCCTCTTTTCTTGTCCGTAAGCTTCCAATTAGTGTAATCTTTAAATCTTTGTCAATAATTTAAATTTTTCGTGTCATAGCATTTGTAAGCTTTGTGTTTTAATCTTCTCCTGTTTCTTACTTGTCGATTTTTTGTTATCAAATGCACTTGATTCCTTCAAATATTCCGAAAACACTCCAAGATTGTCTCGACGTACCTGCATCCACTGATTTTGCTAAATAAATTAATTTTGTGTAGACAAATAATATTAAAATAAGATCTTCTAACGAGCATCAGTTTTTTTTTTTAAGATACCACTTAGAATCTTCTTCCACTAAATGGCGCTCTCGTCCAAAATCTTATTTGCAAGGGTGGATTTTATTTAAATGGATTAATGGAGAATTTTATTTGTTTTTTATTTTCTAAGATCGTTCATTTTTAAAACAATCACCATCTAAAGGACCCCAGTACCTGCCTGTAGTTCCTACGACCTTCCTTTCTCTTAATTGGGTTCACATTGTTTTTGGATGAATTGAATGTTCAATTTAAAACCATATGACTCAATTAATATTCCCTTCTAAATGAAGTATGAAATGAAATAAAATTTATTTAAATAACAAAATTGTACTTTAATTAAAAAAAAGTTTTAAAATTTTTTCTTTCTTAAAACGCAAATTGGAACTAGTTTTTTTTTTAATTATTCACTTAACGTGCATTCCTATTCAAAGTTCCTCAGATGTTAGTAAGTAAAAGCAACAAAATTACTAACACTAAGAGGATTAAATTACAAAATTAATATCAGCGAGTTGTACTTTTTTATACGCATTAGGGATCGTTATTTTAAGAGGAAATGTTGGTAGCTCCTATAAGTTGGGTGCAATTTTCAACATGTTGCATTTTGTTAAATTGTAGTCCCGCCAAAAACCAGAATCGACTCCTAATACTGTACAATTGCTTATCCTTTAATAAAATTAAGATCTGCTTGTAGTTCTTAGAAGCTTCATACAAAATCGCATGCTGCAGTTCAAATAGGATGTGATAGCTTTCTTCCATATTAATTATATTTTCCATATTTGTTTACAGGGAATTTTTAACATTTTCATATTTGGTTTACAACCTTTCTGGTCATAGTGTCATGAAAAGGACTGAAAATCAACTCCTCAACCATTTTAGTTTGTTATGTAGCTAAAATGACTCAAAAGGATTCAAATATTTTAATACATCGTTGAACTATGATCATATAAATCCTCTCCGTTTTTTTTCTTTTTTTCTAATTTTAATTCTTTGTGATGAAGAAAGGTAAATCAATGAATAAAAAAATAAGATTTATATTTTAGAGTCTGAATTTTTATCAACATTTTTAAATGTTTTTTAGCTCTTTTTTAAATAATTTTTAAAGTTATATTAGACTTAAGGAGGGAAGATTGGAATTTTATCAATAGTTACACGTACTTAAGGTATGATTATTAGGATGTTCATTATGGCAATTTTAGAGACTTTTTTATTGTCCTAAGATGTATTTTTTCAAAATTTCATATTTTGAACGGTAGTCTAAAAGCATAAGTATCTTAATGAAGGGGAATAAGAGAATGATTATGCAAGGGTATAGTAGGTACCTTATTTACGTCGCACTAGATCTGCACAATGGGCTATCCGCGACGGTCTGGGAAACATCCCTAAGAATAATCCGAAAACATGCCATCACAATAATGTTCCCTTGCAGAATGGATGGCTCCTCCTCTTTGGTAACCCGACTGCTCTCGAAGTCGAGTACTTTACAGTAGAACAGTTTCTCGAGGACCTATACCGCGCACTCTCGCTTCCTATGGAGGCCGGTCAAAGTGGTCACTCACCCTCTTACTGACCGCAACCAGTGATGCTTGATTTTGGCACTTCCCTGGGAACTGTCTTTACAATCAGTCTACTGCGGGATGAACATGAGGATCGAAGAGAATGAATGAAAACTGAATGAGTGAGGGAATGAAAAATGAATGAGTGAGGGCATGAAAAAAGAAGCCAATCAATAATCAAAATCTATCTTTTATGTTATTTGATAAATTTTTATAAAATACACACAATGGAACAATTTCAAAATATTAATAATCTATAAAATATTAGCAAGTGTGAAATTTTAAACCTTTTATTAAGATAATGTTTATTTTTTCTGTTGTACTTTATAGAATTTTTCTTTCCTCAGATGACGATGAAAGCGTTGCCGGCATGACTGACGAAGAAATAGTGGCTAATGCTTACGTGTTCTTGTTAGCCGGCTACGAAACGACTGCCACAGCGCTCGCCTTCACCTTCTATTTGCTGATAACTCATCCTGAAATTCAAGAACGTCTCCAACAAGAAATAGACGCAGCTGAGGACTCTAGCTATGCAACTGTACAAAGTAATTATCCTTACTATGCATTCTCATGATTCGAAAATGGCTATCTTTAATGTGTAATTCTGGAATCCTTATAAAGTAATTATGCTTACCATGTATTCTCATGATTCGAAAATGGCCATCTTTAATGTGTAATTCTGGAATCCTTATAAAGTAATTATCCTTACTATGTATTCTCATGATTCGAAAATGGCCATCTTTAATGTGTAATTCTGGAATTCTTATAAAGTAATTATCCTTACTATGTATTCTCATGATTCGAAAATGGCCATCTTTAATGTGTAATTCTAGAATTCTTATAAAGTAATTATCCTTACTATGTATTCTCATGATTCGAAAATGGCCATCTTTAATGTGTAATTCTGGAATCCTTATAAAAATGAATTGAAAAACCTAAAGATATTAAAAATCGGAAAACGAAGTTCGTAAGAATTAAAAATAAAAAGCGTCTAAACTTTTCCATTCTAGCTCAACTAGAGACAAAAAAGGATTACAACGATCTGAGACCAGTTTATGTCAAGATAACGATAAAAAGTGACTCTTAGATAAATACAAATTTGTTTTGCTTCCTCCTAGATAAATAAATTTGTTCGTCAGGATTTTAATCATTCCCTTGCTATCTCAAATCTTCCTAATGATTGGTAATGGATATTTCGACAAACTTCATGAATTAATGCTTTAAATTTTCTAAAATAAGTTGCTAACCTTCAAACTACCTAACCACTTTTTTTTTCCCCTTTTTAGATTTACAGTACCTGGACCAA